CAATATGCTAAACTCAACAAAAACAAAATCAAAGTCAGATCAACAACATTAGAGAAAGGGCTAAAATTATTGTTAGTTTTTATAAGGCTTTTATACGGTTTTTATAAAGTTAGGTTCTCACAAATTTACATATAAGTCTTTTAAACGGTTTTTATAATGTTCTCAAAAAAGTAAACTGAAAAGTCAATTCTAAAACTTATAAAAGCCTTATAAAAAACTTATAAAACAAATTAAAACTACTGTTAGAAAACTTACAGCTGCTTTTATTGATTTTCCTGGCGTCTCAAGTGTTGTGAACCACTTGGCATCAACTTTGTTACCTAGAATTGTTAGAGGCCTAAAAACGAACACAACATATTTACAGCTTTTAAAACACTTATAAACAACTAAACGGAATTCCATTTCTTATTTTGTCAAATAAAACTGAAACTTACTTTGTTTTCCTTGAACTCTTCCATTTAGCCAATAGTTCTACCCGTGGTGTATCAATTTTTTCAAAGGGATGAACAATTGGGTGCCTTTTCTTCTCAGCCGTGTAAGGCCACTGAGTGTGAATTGATGGAGCATGGTTTCGTTCACTTTTCCTTTTTACTTCACCAACATTATCAGCTTTATTCTTCTTTCTTCGTGGCTGAACAAAATAAAGTAAAAATCCAGCATTTTATCGATTTTCAATTGTAATAACTATTGTAATATTTTTAATTGCAAACTAACCATAGCTTTTGTTGTATCATCAACATCTTGATTGTCACTTGTTTTACGCTTCTTTTGCTGCAATGAACCAAACGAACACATTTTGTAAACCATTTAATCCAAGTATGGAACATTTTTTATAAAACCTGATAAACTCTTGATAAAAACCATATAAAAACCTGATAAACTCTTGGTAAACATTATAAAATCTCCTTTAGGCCTTATAAAAACCTTATATTCACAGTTTAATAAGCATATAAAGACCTTATAAAATATTTAAAAATCTGATACTAACCTCTTTTCTTTCAGAAACATTTTCTTCAGCATTGTCTCATTCTTTACACTTTTTCTGTAGATCAAAACAAATTAATCATGCTTAGTGTAACTTCTTTAAAAATCATTAATCTCATAACATCCTTATAAAGAATAGAACACTAACCTGCTTTTTCTCTCTAACAACTTTCTTTTTACTGCTTCCTGCTTTCTGTTGACTGTTTTTCTTATCCTTTCCGCTACCTTGACTTTCTTGAGAAAAGAGATTGAACTTTGGTGTAGAATGACTTGGAGTATTGGATTTATCCTTCAAACATAATCACTCTAAAATTTTACAAAAAGGCTTTTAAAAGGAATTTAGTATACTTATAAAAAACTATATCATCATACCCTTGGTGTTCCTTCTTCTGCATTATCATAATTGCCACTCTTTTCAGTATTTTCATCGTCGCCGTCATAACTTCCATCTTGGGTGTTTGCTTGACGAAATGAATCTTCAAAAGTGCTATTCACATTTTCATCAAAAACCCTATCTTCTTTCCCAGTATCTTCATGAGGATTACTTTGTCCAGCGTGCTACACAAAAATAAAGAACCAGGCAAAGTATCCCAAATTTTCAAAAACCCTATTAAAAATTATATAAAACCCTTATAAGCCTTTTAAAAACCATATAAAACCTTTAAAAAATATATACTAACCTCTTCACTTTTATCTTTGTCTCCTTCAAGCTCGGACTGCGATAAGAAAAGTAAGAAATTATCATAGGAAACAACCCAAACTTTTTATTAATTAAAATTTACAAATATTTTACCTCGTTATATGTCCCCACGTTGTTTCTGACTTTTAGAACCACTTCAAGTATTTCTAATCTTCTGTTGAAGTCCGCAACTAGTTTAAGGATCTTGTCCAGTTTGGCAGAATCTGACAATTGCTGCCCCAACTCTGCCTCCGCAGAAATGTATTCAACAATTTTGTTCCTCCAATCAATCTCCTTTAATCTGTAGCCTCTCATCACCAAGTGTACGATATCTTCAAACTCTTTGTCGTCTACATGAGTTTCTTCTACTAGGTGTTTGTATTCCTCTGGATCTCCAATAATAGATTTGACCTCAATCTAGAAAAATAAATAACAAAGGTTTTAAAAGCTTTTTAAAATGGATATACAATGATTGTAAATCCTTATAAAACCCTTATAAAATCCTTATAAAATCCTTATAAAACCCTTATAAAATCCTTACAATGGTTGTAAACGCTTATAAAATCCTTATAAATCCCTTATAAAACCCTAAATAACTCTATGATACTTTTAAAAACCATATAAAACCTTATACAATTAATGCTCATCACCAAATAAAAAGTGTTATAAAAGGAATGAAAACTTACACAATCCGATGATTGAATGGCATCCACGATTTGATCTAATCTTGGAGTTAACGAAGATTCCCAGTTAGAGTATAGAGGATAAACACACTTTGACGTGTCGTTGCATACAGCAAACGACGCTCCAAAAAGTGGTACAGCGCTGAATGACCAGATCAATAAAGCCAAAGGAAAACCTTTGACTTCATATTGGCCTCTTGCCCATGTATTGGTATCCATCCTCTTGATACTTGTAGACAAGACGTTGTAGGCTTCTTTTCCCCATGCCAAAGATGTATACGCCTCAAAATCGGATGCATGGTGAAGTCTTGAACTTGGGATTTTCTCTAATGAATGAGGCGTCATCAAGAATGCTTCTGTAAGGATGACAGCTGCAAGGCAAAGCTTTTCATCCTCTTCCATCGGCGCCTCTGTTTCCTCTGTTTTCTCCAAATCAGTTATATCCTTTGGTTCAGAAAACAAGTAATTCTCCAAATTACTCAAGGTCAAATCTTTTCGCGACGTCCAACTGTAGGGTTTCTTAGCAGGTTTTTTCCCCTTCCTACTTTGATCTGTATCAAGCTTTTCACAATGAATACCTGTGATTTATTAAACAATGAGGTTAGTATTTTCAATCTACTCATAAATTTCGTATATTTCACATTCAAATGATATGTACATACCTTATTAAAACCTTATAAAACCTTATAAAAACCTTATAAACAAGTTTTCAAATAATGTTTATTTGACATTCAAATGATATGTACATACCTTATAAAAACCTTATAAAAACCTTATAAAAACCTTATAAAAACCTTATAAGAACCTTATAAAAACCTTATAAAAACTTTATAAACAAGTTTTCAAATAATTTGTTTATTTCACATTCAAATGATATGTACATACCTTATAAAAACCTTATAAAAATCTTATATAAACCTTATAAGAACCTTATAAAACCTTATAAAAACCTTATAAAATACTTATAAACAAGTTTTCAAAGAATTCGTTTATTTTCACATTCAAATGATATGTATATACCTTATAAAAACCTTATAAAAACCTTATAAAAACTTTTTATAACTGGCAGAAATTAAACAAAGATGTAAAATATATATGGAATACCTGTTGAGAGAAAAAAATTCTCTCATTGAGAAACGTGTTGGTTGTGAAGCGATTCTGAACCACAAGTTGTTTCCTTTAGTCTTCAGCCTCCTCATCATAATGTAGTGA